ACATATACATATATATATATATATATATATATATATATACATATACATATATATACATATACATATATATACATATACATATATATACATATACATATACATATACATATACATATATATATATATACATATACATATACATATGTATATGTATATGTATATGACTCATTAGGAATAAGTTTGTTTTAACAAAGTATGATGACAACACTAGACAATCATAACAAAGCATATAAATTGAAAAATGGAAGACATTTATATTAAAAAAACAGCTACATTATAAAGCAATATAAATACACACACACACACACCATTACCAAAGTGCCAAACATGACTCCATTTTCACAAACACCTGTAAGATGCACACGGTGACGTTACATTCCATACCTTGTATCCTGTTAAGTTTAGCATAGCCAGCTCCATATGCTTGACCATACACTGATGAACCAGTAAAGGCACTGTAGGGGAGAGGGGTGGCCAAGTTGTCCTCACACCTCCCTGCACAGAATAAAGTTGTATTGAAATGAGTCATATTATTTATTAGGGCATCAGCATAAAAACCTGGATGACAATTACTCAGATGCATTTGCAAAATACCTGCTGTAAAGCCATATGTATCTTCAATAACATAATACTGATTATTGTTTGCTGCCAAAGGTGAAAGGGCAATAATGTGTTGCCCATGTCTGTGTTTTTATGTTCAAGTTCAAGTCATTCACATCATATGTGGTACACGAGGTGGAACGAATTTACCGTATTTTCCGAATTACACGTCGCTCCGGAGTATTTTCATTCATTCAAGCTTTATTTAGACAGGTTAATCCCATTGAGCTTTGGGGACTCTTTTTTTTTTTTTTATTAAACCTTTATATAACCAGATAAAAATCCATTGAGATCAAGACATCTTTCACAAGGGTGACCTGGCCAAGAACAGGCAGCAGCACACATCATAAAAAAAACAAAAAGAAGTAACCAGATTAGAATAAGACTTCAGAAATAAAAAAAATATATATATAACATACAGTATAACAGTAAATGGCAATAATTGTAATAAAAATTAATTTAAAACAGTAACAATTAAAGATCTAAAACACAGGCACTGTTGACAAGATATCTTTTGTCGGTTTTTTAAAAGTTTGAAAAAGCACTCAAAGTAACAAGTTCTGTCAGTTTTAATTCAGCTTGCAAGGCATTCCAAGCTGAGGGGGCAGAAAAGCTAAAAGCTTTCATGCCCTTTTCTGTTCGTACATGAGGAACATGAAGATGCAAATATTCCTTAGAGCGTAAGGCATAACTACAGTCCATTCTTCGAAAAAAAGTACATAAATAATGCGGAAGCAGGCCAATAAATTACTTATACACCAAAGTCATCCAATGCACATGTCACCTGTTAAACAGGGAAGACATACTGGTTTTAAGATAGAGATCACAGTGATGAGTAAGGTAGCTACAGCCAGTAATAAATCTTAATGCACAGTAGTACACTGGATTTAATGACTGTAGACAACTGTTTGAAGCACACATATAAACAACATCGCCATAGTCAAGTACTGGCAAAAAAGTAGTTGTGATCAAAAGCTTCCTTGCTCTAAGGGAGAAACATGATTTGTTTCTAGAGAAGAACCCAAGCTTCACCCTTAAATTTGAAATTAGGTGTTTCACATGCTATTTAAAAGAAAGCTCCTCGTCGAAAATTAAGCCCAGGTATTTGTAACTGGAGACCCTCTCAAGAACTTTACCTTGGGCAGTTTTTATTAGAGGGATATTCTCCAATGGGACAGACACATTTGAAAAAAAAAAACATTATTTTAGATTTATCAGCATTTAAGACCAATTTTAGCTTCTCAAGACAAATCTGCACCTCATCAAAAGCAGCCTGTAAGAATTCAAGTGCCTGAGCTATTGAATTTGAATAACAGTAAATTACACAATCAGCAGCATAAATGTGGTAGGAGGCATTTTGCATATTTTCACACAGTGCAGTAATGTAAATTGTAAATAAAATGGCCCCCAAGACAAAGCCCTGGGGAGATGCTTCTTTAGAGATGCCCAGTTTGAGAAGAATATTTACGAGGATAGTGTGATCCACAGTATCAAATGCCTTGGATAAATCAATACACAGAGCACAGCAAACCTTTTTAGAATCCAGTGCCTCAAACACATAATTTAAAACTTTTAGAGCAGCAGTTGCAATGCTATGCTGTTTCCTAAAACCTGACTGAAAAGAGTTTAAAAGATTATTTCCATCCATCCATTATCTTTACCTGTTTATTCCATTTTGGGTCATGAGGGTCGCCGGTGCCCATGTCCAGCAATCACTGTGCGAGGGGCAGGGTACACCCTGGACGGGTCGCAAGTCCATCACAGGGCCACATAGAGAAAAACGAGACAAAACAACCATTCACTCTCTCACTCACACCTAGGGACAATTTAGAGTTACCAATCAGCCTAACATGCATGTTTTTGGTCTGTGGGAGGAAACCGGAGTACCCGGAGAAAACCCACGCATGCATGAAGAGAACATGCAAACTCCACCCAGAAGGCCCCTGGACCGGGGTTTGAACCAAGGACCTGCTCGCTGAGAGGCAGCAGCTCTACCAGTTGCGCCACCGTGCTGCCCTAAAAGATTATTTGTTTCTAAAAATTCTTTCAGTTGATCACAGACCAACTTTTCAAACACTTTTGCTAAAATACATAATTTAGAGATGGGTCTATAATTGTTCACAATTGATGGCTCACCTCCTTTTAATAATGGAAGAATGCAGATTTCCAGACTTCAGGAACTTTGTTTGTGATGAGGCTTAGATTAAAAATACAAGTTAAAGGCTCATCAATCAAATCAGCAGCTAGTTTTAGAAAGAAAGGTTCCAGACCATCCGGACCAGCTGATTTTTTTGAAGTCCAATTTTTGTAGTGCACCATGTACCTCAGAGACACATACCTGTGTAAAATGAAAAACATTTTCAGCAGGTTTAGAGCTAACAGGTACAGTTTTTTTCTACTGCTGGATCACTATTAGATGAATTAAATAAGTCCCCTGCTGCAATGAAATGTTCATTAAAATAATTTAACATGGCACATTTATCAGTCAGGTTTACGGAGTCTTTGACCAAGAAGTTTGGCATTTCACTGGAAGGCATACCACCAGAAACCAATCTCACAGTATTCCAAAACTTTTTTGGATCATTTAGACTTTTGGTGGTTTCTGATAAATAAAATTCAGATTTAGACTTTTTAATTTTAGAGGTACATTTATTGCAAAGTTGACGAATGTTAATCCAGTCAGCCTCCAATTTTGTTTTTCTAGCCTTAGCCCATGCATGATCTCTTTGTCTGAGGAGATTACTAATTTCAGTGGAAAACCAGGGGTTATTTCACCCCATTATCCTGAATTTATGCAGAGGTGTATGTTTGTGTATTACCTTTAAAAAATAATCTTTAAAAAATGTAAATGCCAACTCAACATCATCAGAGAGAAATTTGTTTCCACTCAGTTTTAGCCAGATCATGCAGAAAAGCCTGCTCATGAAAATGCTTAAAGTCTCTTTTCAAAAGTATTTGTGGTTTAACTTTGGGAAGTTTGATGTCTGACAACCGTAATTGCACCGTGGTCACTCAAATCATTCCCAAAAATACCAACATCTGTGAACTTGTGAGGGGCATTTGTTATTATTACATCAAGAAGTGATGATTTAGCAAGTTTTTTTATGTTAGGCCGGGTAGGGCTATTCATTGGTTGACTTAGATTGTGTGAGTCACAAATAGATTTTAGGCTATCTGAGACTGATGACAACCAGTCAAGGTTTAAGTCGCCCACTAAGATAATCTCACCCGTATTTAACCCTGCGATACAATTATTTTAAGAGTCCAGAACATCACTGCAAGCTGAGGGAGGCCTATAACAATCCATGACTGTGAGAGACTGATTTTGCTGAAACTGAAGTTTAACAGCCAGAAATTCAAACTGTTTAGTAACAGATACAGAGGAGAGGAGAGTCACATGAAAGCTGCTTTTCATAAAGATAGCTACACCTCTACCTTTCCTGGGACAATCACAGTGGAAAACATTATAACTCTTAATAGCAATATCCTGATCTGAAACAGATTTATTTAATCATGTTTCAGACAACACAAGGACGTCAGGTTTTGTTCTTTGTACCCAAATTTTAACAAGATCAATTTTAGGAAGCAGGCTTCAGACATTAAAATGTAAAATGCCAAGACCAGATCTCTCACTAAATTTTTCAGGAATATCAATATTATTCAGAGAGGGGCCTAGATTAGGTTGAACATTTCCTGATAGTAGAAGAAGAAGAAGAATCAAGTACTTCCTTTTCACGTTAAAAATTGACTCCTTATCATTAAGGTTTGAAATTGCCAAATCTAGAAGAGAAATTTCTGAGTGTGTAAAACTGCTTTGCAAGACAGATATACACATTAGATAAACAAGTGTTTGATGATTTAATCCCGGCCACCAGAAGGAAATCCGTGATAGGGTCGATCTGTCAACAGAGAATGACCAGATTGAAGTCCCTGACCTGGAAAAATCCAAGGCTGGATGGGAGGCATGACTATGTGCCCCAGTTCCATACTTCAAAAATACTGACCCACTTGAAGCAAAATAAAATAAAAGGAGTACGTTAAAAAGAAGCTTCATGATCGGGGTCTGTGGATAAATTGATATCCATCTGTGCTGCATTTTTCCTCTACTTTTCCTCCTTCCCTGGTTGATTACATACTAATTGCACATTTTGGGCTCTCATTCTGGGAGGAGGGGGTAAAATTAGTGGTGTAACGGTACATGTAGGTGTATTGAACTGTTTCGGTACGGCTTGTTTGATTCAGTCCATGTGCGTACCGTTTCGGTTATTATCTCACTCATTAAATTTTATTAATGAGAGATTATGCACTGTGGAACTAAAGTTCCTAAGCGTGTTTCAGCATGGCACTATTAATTGTTGCATTGCCTTGCAGCACACGTAGCCTAGCATCTCGCTGTGGTCTCCTGTTTGGGAACATTATGGCTTTCTTGTTAAAAGACAAGTGGACAAATCCAAAGCCGTTTGTCGACGTTGGTTCACGGAGATTGGATCTGTAGCAGGCAACACATCTAACTTGTTAACATACTTGAAACGACATCATCCGAATGTGAACGTCTCTTCTACAAGGAAGAAAAGCAGCCTTGGTACACTTTAGCAGCCAATGGGCTATATGCCACAGAGTTCCGTTCTAGCACTTCTGTATTTTTTAGCCACGCTGAACACATATGGCTTGCAAGCAACACAGTGTTAGTAATGGCGTTTTTCCCTTGGTCGCTGCTGGACTTGCTGACATTGACAATGTTTATAGAATTATTGAGACATCCTCTAAAACTCCAACGTATAAAAAGAACAAAAGATTTAAGCTGTGTGTGTCCAGTTTCATAAAGGACTTCAAAGGTAAGTTAATTATTCGTTTCTGAGTTCACCAAAATGCCTCATATACATCTAACGCAGCCAATTTTACAAAAGTGTTTTCTAAACATTATGTGTTGTTGAATATTTCTTATCTAAACTGATCCTATGGTTTTGATCTGCTCAGAGACGAGATTATAATGAAATTATGACCAGGTTCTGACTGGGTTAAACTGGGCCAGCAGCTCTAAGAGAGTCTCCCAGGGATTTCAATATCAGTCAAGTAATAGAGTTTAATCTGCTTGCCACATCAAGTAGAAATGCATTTGAAGCACCGTCTCATATTTCCTAACACATTAGAACCACATAAGATCCATTGAGATCACACTTAGTCATGCCCCCTCATACACTGACAGGTTGAGCTCCCCTTCTGTGAAGGAGGAGTCCAGGACCCTATAAATGAGTAATGACATGGGACATCGGGGCTCTTCCGGGTCTGTGAACGCGTCACAGACCGGAGAGTCCAGCGCTGTAAATTGTAACCTTTTCCTGCCTTGATTTTAATACAATTGGTAAAACTGAATAGGCGTTTCCTTGATTTATTGATGAGAGTTGCCACTTCTGAGGGAGATTCGAGCCAGGGGGAAAGACGTGGGCTGGAGGTGGTTTCCGGGTCCAGTGGCCCGCAGCCAGCTCCCATCTTCAACAGCTGGTGCCGAAACCGGTCTCCCGTCTTTAGAAGTGGTAGCTCGTTTCGTATTGTTTAATGGTGACACAGCGGCAGGTGACCGAGTCGGAGCAGACTGTTTCTAGCCGGCTTTTTAACATGAGGTAAGCAGAAAACCTGTTAAATCAAAATATCCTGATGCATGCTCAATCATCCAGGTAGAAAAATCCAAAAAAGTTCAATCT